CCTTTGAGATATAAGGCGAGACTTGTGGCCAATGGTTTTACTCAAAGGAAAGGTGTTAACTATAATGAGATCTTCTCACGCGTAATCAAATATAAAACTATAAGATTGATCCTTGCACTAGTTGTTCAATTCAATTGGAAACTTAAACAATTAGATATCAAGATAGCATTCTTACACGGGGAGTTAGAAGAGAACATTTATATGAGTCAAGCTCAAGGCTTTGAAGAAAATGGGAAGCTTGATTTTGTGTGCAAGTTACAAAAATCCTTGTGTCGACTTAAACAAAGTCCTAAGCAGTGGTACATTAGGTTTGATACATATGTACTGAAGATTGGTTTTAGGATACGCGAGTATGATCACTGCTTGTACTATAACAATACTAAAGCTGGAAGTCAGGTGTATCTACTTTTATATGTATATTATATGTTGCTAACGAGTTCTAGCAAGTCTGAGATATTAAGACTCAAGAATCTCCTAAAATTCGAGTTCGATATGAAAGACTAGGGGAATGCCAAGAAGATTTTGGGAATGGTTATCAATAGGAACAGAAAGGAAAATATATTGATCATATCTCAAGAAACATACTTAAGTAAAGTCATTACCAAATTTGGCATGAAGGAAGTCAAGTCGGTTAATGTTCCTCTTACTGCCCACATGAACCTCTATTCTGCCCAATGTCGCAAAACTGAAGATGAATTTAAAGATATGAAAAACATTCCATATGCTAATGCCATAGGATCCGTCATGTTTTCTATGGTTACAACTAGGCCAGATTTGGCATATTCTATTAGTTTCTTTAGTAGGTTTATGTCTAATCCGGGGAAACCTCATTGGGCGGGGTTAAAGTGGTTATTGAGATACATAGCTGGAACACTTAGAGTTGGTTTGGTGTTTAAGAAGGGATCGGATCCATTGACATTGAAAGGTTATGTAGACACGGATTTCGTTGGAGACAAAGACCAGAGAAAGTCTACTACTACATATTTCTTTACTCTTTGTGATAATTGTATCACCTAGAAGTCACAACTTCAACCTATTGTCACATTATCCAGCACTGATGCTGAGTATGTAGCAATAGCCGAATCTGTAAAAGAGTGTGTCTGGTTAAAGAGAATTTTAGGAGAGTTGAATTTTTTACATGAGACACCTA